GAGGCGTCTGGGCCTGGGCCGGGGCCGGGGCCTGTCTGGCTGTGTTGGAGCGGTCCCACGGCCACGGAGGGCAGGGCACAGGAGAAACCCGCTGGATGGGGTGGGATGTACTGTGGGGAAATCACTGATTCATGGAATGGTTTAGGTTGGAAGGGACCTTGAAGACGTCGAGTTCCAACCCCCCTGACCATAGGCAGGGACACCTCCCACTAGACCAGGTTGCCCAAGGCCACATCCAGCCTGGCCGTAAACACCTCCAGGGATGGGGCATCCACAAGTTCTCTGGGCAACCTAATGCGGGCAGGAGCTCTGGCGGGGGTCCCACAGGGGGGAGAGAGGCGGAGCAGCAAGGCTGAGGGCCTGCGAACAGGCTGCTGCCACCTCAGGGTACGTGCTGTCTGGGATGCTTTTCTCCTGAGTAGTCGTAAGTTTTGGAGAAAGGCTGGCAGGTGATTGGGTAAGCATTTTTGGCCTTTCGAGAATGTGGTAGTGCATCTCCTAAATCAAAACGAAGCTGGGAAAAGTAATGCATTGCAAGGGAGGGTTTAACTGTAGTGGGTGGAAAATAAAGACCGTCTTGTTGCAGAGAAACCAACTTGCATGTTGCAGAGAAACTGGGTATGTTCATAAAAATCATAGATGAGTACAAGCAAAGCTTTAGTCCTCACCTCTGAGGAGTTCTTCAGGCTCAGTCTGGAGTCCTTCGGCGTGCGATAGCTCAGTGGCTGTGAGATACTCAAAGTAGTCAAAGTATCATACCTCTTCTGCCATGCGCAGGGAGGGGATGATGTCAGTCTGAATCCAGATTTTCTAACTTTGAGTTTACAGTTATTGTCTCTTTGGGCAGCAGAGAGGGGCTGAGTGCTTTTCGGAGCTCATGGGCATTAAACAATTTGCATGTTTGGGATGTTTAGTTATTCAGCGTGGTGAATAAACATAATTATTGCGTTGGGGTGGGTTAGAGGGACTGAATAGGTAGAACTTACTATAAATTTGAATGAATAAGTTCTTGTATCTGAATAGCTATCAAGCCTCGTTTCCCTGCTTTTCAAGCATCTAACTACCTTTTTTAAGAATTAACTTTTTTCTACCACGATTTGGTAAGTGGGTCCAAATAGAGAAGTATTAAAGGGGATTTTGGAAGGGATATAGGGTAGATAAGAGCCTGAGAATGACAGTCCCTCTTTCCCACTGCTGCTTCTCAGCAGGACGTGCCTTCTGATTCTTGCTGTTGGAGCAGATTCAGTGCTGGTCGTTAAAAGATCAGTAGGAAAGCATGTCTTTGGGATTAAGGTCACAGCCAGAACAGGCCGCATCATGGAGACAGGTTGATCACAGAGGCTTTCTGGTAGAAAGAGCGGAAAGAACTCTTGAGGTCAGAGACAACGGCCTTGTTGGTACCTGCTGTGCCATAGCTGAACTGCAGTCTCTCCTATAGTGACTCCTGTGTTAGAAGACCCTCTGAAGTGGATAGCACCTATGGCCATAACAGTGGCTGACCACAAAGCCAGACCTCCAGATCTGCCTCAGCAAAAGGGGAGGAAAGCAGGCTGTGTGCATGGGCTGCTCCAGCAGTGCTGTGTGTTTGGAGCGCTTTTAGCATTACCATGTGTGTGCCGAGTCCTGGGAGTTGGGGTGGTTTGTGACATGCCTCGGTGAGGGCATCCAGTTGCATGCTTGCTGTCTCCCATTTAGCTGCCTCGTAGGATCAAAACCTAGTGTGCGTTTCATTTCTGGGTGGTAAAAACATACTTGTTTTTCTGATTCGTGCTGAAGTTCTTGCAGAGGCAGTCTGGTAATGGAGCCCTTAGCTCGTAGTGGTCAGGGAGAGCTGTGCTGGTTTAGATTGGCTGAGGGTCCTGTCACCTTTTGCTTTTAATAGAATAGCAACCAGATCTTATGTGTGGCTTCTGCCCCTTAAAAATACTTTGTACGCTTACAGAATTTGGTTCCGTTTCTAGAAATAGAGACCGGCGTGTAGGAGCTGAAGAAACCTGCCCCAGCTTGTAACAGGTTATTGTTAGCACTGAGTGGGAGCAGAGTCTGGCTCTGATGATGGCTCCCACTTTTGTCTATTGTTATGTCTGGGGAGGCAGCAGCTCCAAAAGACATAAAACTGGGAGGAAGAAAGACACCTCCTTTCTCCTCAGGTAAGGCTTTAATAATAGGAAAGACCAGGCCTGAAGACTTAACATTGAAGTTTATTATGTGTATAAATTAATAACCAGACAAGAGAATGACACTGTATCTTCAACAACCGTCTTCTGCTTTTTAAAAAACAACAATGATTGGAAAAAGGATTAACAAAGACCTACTAGTGTCATATAAAACAGTCTATAACGCACAGGAGCTGTGTGGCCCCACAGAAAAAGTGATCACAGTATTATCTAGCAGTATAAAAAATTGAGCAAACAGCTCCGGGGAGCTTCGTATTTCTGAGGAGAGACAGATGTCAAAGCTGTGTTTCTGATCCTGTAGGATTTTTGCAGGCGGTCTCTAAAGCAACGACAATTCTTGGCCATTGTTTTTAGCCTTTTCTACCCTTAGTTTTTGGTGACAAAGTTAGTCTCTGAGAAGCACGGGGAGGACTTTGCCTGAACCCCCTTACAGCACACTCTGATTTCTGGGGAGAAAAGTCTCCTAATATTAGTGGCAGAGCCAAGATCACAGTACCCAGCCGGGGGGAATTTCTCTCACGAGGACTGGGGAAGGTGGATTAGTTCAGGGTGAGGGAAGGCACGAAGAGAAGGTGAAGGTCCTGCTCTTTCACATGGCAAATAAGCCCACGGCAACTGTCGTGGCTAGGAAGCCGAGCGCCAGGATCCACCGCACCAGGGGAGTGGTGGGCACAATGTCGGTGTGTCTCCTGTTTGTCCTCTCACTTTCTCTCCCAGGCGCTGGACCTAGATCAGATAGGGAGGGGGAAAAAAAGAAGCAAAACAGGTGGGTGAGAAGAAGTTGAGGTGAGAAGCTGCCGGTATGCCACACTTGCTCTCCCCAGTGCCAGAGGAGACCCTGCTGGAGTTGTGAAGGGGAGGAGGAGGAAGCCCAGAGCCCAGTTGGTCTGGGGGAAACAGCGGCAGCAGGTTCTCCTCTCCTGGAGCAGGCAAAGAAGGGAAGTGCAGGCTTGAGCTGGGAACCACAAAGGTTTACAATCCCTCTTGCCTGTACATGAGTGCTGTCATCTTCCCTTGTCTCCTTATGGCCTTATAAATGCACTGCCCAGCTCCATCAAACCACTGATGCATGCAGAAGACAGTCAAATACTTAAACCAGAATTTTAAAAGGCATTTTGTCTCCTATTTGTCATTGATTTAATTGGTTAGGCATCTAATGACCTTAGATAGGTAGTCCTTAGCATTCCAGACAAATTACTTTCCCAGTACAACTTCAGGGTGGGATTCCTCATCCAACACCAAACTTCTCTGAAAATCTTACTTTTATGAGTGTATTGGGAAAGGAGCAGCAAAGTTTCACGCACAGCTTTTACTGCCTTCCCCTAAGAAGTTGTTTTAAGCTTCGTTGC